TATAAGAGCTTAGATACAAACTGACCCACAGAGGTGTCTTTACATACATTTCCTTGTAGCAACTGGTTTTCATGGTCCCAGGCAGAAAAAGAAAATGATCTCTATTTCCATAAACAGATGTGAGTTTGCACACTCATTAAAAACAACAGCTGTTCTAAAAAGGAACACCAGTTCCTTAGTAGAACCAGCAGAGGAAACTGGAAGTGGTATGGGACTCAAAGGTATTAAAAATGAGACAAGGTATTGCATGCTCTTCCGGACAGCCTAGATCAGAGGTGTCAAACCCATTTGTTACGAGGGCTGGATCTCACATAAATGTGGCTTTGTCGGGCTGGGCCATGTGTGCCATAAAACGTAATGCCAGGTACCAGAGATAGAAATTGCATAAAGAACAGCAGCTGGTAAGCTTCGAGTTGGTGTATCTTCACTACAAGGCCCCATGGGCTGGGAGGAGGGTACAGAAGAAAACCCACCTAGGCAGACTGGAGAGGCAGCAGTATAGCACTGGGCAGATGCTCCCACGATGCTTGACTGCTGCAGACGAGGTTGTTCTGCCATGCTAAAGACCACAATGGAGTGGTTCCGCTCACTCTCCCCAGCACTTCCTTCCTTGTATCCTTGTATCAGTTGCTCGTGGGCCGCATAAGAGCCTTGAACAGGCCGGATCCGGCCCCCAGGCCTTATGTTTGACACCCCTGGCCTAGACAGAATTTACTGCTCCCACCATCAGAGCTTTGGCCAACAAAGAGGAAAAGACTATCACAAGCAACTTCCATGACATCCCAAAGCAAACTGCCTCTGTGCTAGAACAATCCTCTCAGGATTTAGCAGGCAAAAATCAACAGCAACATTTATCTACAGCTGAAGAAACTTTTCTCCAATGTTTATCCAGCTATGAACTGCCGTGTTCCAGTTCAGAAAATGGCACATGATACAGCAGCATGTATTAGATTACCCAATCTGCACCCAACAACAAATTCCAATGTGTAGTGACATCCAACCTCTACATACAGATGACGGCAAAAACAAAGACTACACCGAGCTACCAGCACGTGGCAGGATAGAGTTTCCTCTTGCAAACATGTTACTTGTATCTACCAGATACTATTCCTCAGTAAAATCCCAAAACAAGATTATGTAATAATCTTTTATTAAGACCAACCAAAACAACAAAAACTTTCAAATCCACCAGGACTCTTCATCAAGCTAGATACTAAAAAGCAGAGAGGGGGAAGAAAAAAGATCTGTAGGAAAATAACTCTTGATACATTTTGAGAAGCCAAAAACTAACATGAGTAGAGCAACAGGACTAGAATTTTCAGAGCCCATCTAACTCTGTCCAGCACTATTTTTACCTAAGCTTCCCCAGTGTCCTAAGGAAAAGGACTCATCGACTTCTACAACAACACTTTCCTCATATCCAGAGAATAATCAGACTTTTGGTTTAACCATTCTTACTGTTTTAGTACTACAAAGATAGGGATACAAAGCTGATTCAATAGAAGAAATCACCTTGACTGTTACGTTTCTGAAAACGCTGTTGAGAAAAGACATCCAATATTCTACATACTTACTCACATGTTAGATGACTGGCATGATGCCACAGTATTGCCACTTCAGCCCAAAACAAAAAACTGAGAAATACAAGATACTTGCAGCTACTAGAGCTGCTTCTTGAAAGACTTCTGTGAGCCTGATAAATGTATCCACCATCCAGATGCATTTGGACAAAAGTACACATTATGTGTACTTCTGCGATCAGTTAAAAAGTCAGCCACCTTCTCTAGGGAGGAGAACAGCATGGGGGAAGGGAAAGAGAGGGGTTCTTTCATCATGTCCTCTTCTACTATTTTCCTGTTGAAAGCTGCCATCTCTGCACTGCTTTTATCTCTGCACTGGGGACACTTTACAACAGGGTAAGAAAGAGTCCCTCTCCCTATGCTGTACAACTAAAAAAAAATCAAGTCCCAATGAATGCATTTGGAAAGGGGGGGGGGAATTAAATTGTCATAACTAATGCGTACTTCCAATTGTGTGCACTTGAGCACAGATAAGGAAAAAAACAAGGCTAGGTAAACTTTATCTAGGACATATGGACTACCAAAAAGGAGATGGATGTGTGGCTGTTGGATCCCCAAGCATCGAGAATAAATCCACGTTTTCAAGAAAAGCAAAATTTATTTCAAAGCGTTGAAGACATACTCAAACACGTTCTTTGTTAGAACTGGGGATACACAGTTAGGTCAAGCATAATAAAGGAACTTCAAACAGATACAGATCCAATGAATAGCATTCCCGCTGGCGGGCTAATGAAACGGTTGCGCGCCCAGTCCATGGGAACCAGGCAGAACATCAGACAAAACACAGGTGCAGTACTCATGAGAAAAGCAATAGGCAAGCATTACAGCATCTTCTCCCCCACACAACCTCCAGCAGTTATCTTGTGCATTCCAACGCAGGAGCAGGATGATAGAAAACAAGCCGGGTGCAACAGGGAAAGGATATGTACACAGAGGTCACAGAAAACAGAATGGCAGCTTGCTGACATACTGCCCCCCTTAAAATACACTTACAACACACCTCCCGGGCTGGGCGGGAGATCTCCCGGGCTGGGCGGGAGACCTCCCGGTTTGTCCGGGAACCTCTTGTGGAAACTACGGATCAGGTAAGGGGCCCGAATATCCCCTTCTTCCACCCATTCGCGGTGCTGGGGACCGAAATCAACCCATTCGATAAGGTACCAGAGTTTACCACGTTTCAATTTACAATCAAGGATATCAGCGATCTCAAAATGTTCATCCCCTTCCAAAATGACAGGTGGAGGAGGAGTAACTGCTGGTCTCCAGGGAGACGGGCCAGGATCCTTCTTCAACAGGCTCATGTGAAAAACAGAATGCAGAGCACGTAAATTCTTAGGCAAAACAACATCAACCGCCACATTATTTATGACTTTACGCACTTTGAATGGACCAATGAACTTCCACCCCAATTTCCTGCTAGGTCGCAGCATCTTAATGTTCTTGGTCGAGACATACACAAGATCCCCAGGTTTCAGATCAAACCCCACCACCCTACCCTTGTCTGCCTGGGTCTTGTAAGCAGCCTTGGCTGCGTCAAGCGTTTGGCATAGCAGAGGCCATGCATTTTGCAAGGACATACACCATGTATCAGCATCCCCCACAGGACGTTGGCCCATCCCCTCCAGGAAAGGGAGGGGGGGCTGTCGTAACCAGAGACAGCTTTATAAGGAGACATGCCCGTGGAGCTATGGACAGTATTGTTATAACAATATTCAGCAAGAGGCAACAATTCACACCAATCATTCTGTTGATAATTAGTAAAACAACGAAGATATTGCTCCAGGGTCTGATTAACTCGTTCTGTTTGTCCGTCAGTCTCAGGATGATACGCGCTGCTGAGCCCTTGTTCCACCCCTAAAATGGAAAGAAGTTCCCTCCAAAACTTAGAAACAAATTGGGTCCCCCTGTCAGAAATTAATTTAGCAGGTAATTGATGAATTTTCACCACGTGAGACATAAACGATTTCGCCAACCTCTGAGCTGTAGGCAAGGAAGGAAAAGGCACAAAATGAGCTTGCTTAGAAAATAAATCAACAACCACCCAAATAACAGTGTTCCCTTTGCTCGCAGGGAGGTCAGTAATAAAGTCCATGGACACCACTTCCCACGGTCTCGATGGGGTAGGGAGTGGCTGCAGAAGACCAGGAGGCTTGCCCACTCTGGGTTTAGTCAAGGCACAGGTTTGGCA